TCATGTTTTAACATCCACATTAAAATCTGAGCGTGGTGGCACACATCTGTAATCCCAGCACTAGGGAGGCTGAGGCAGGAGGATCACTGTGAGTTTGAGACCAGCCTGGGCTACACAGTGAATTCCAGGTCAGTCTCAACTGCATAGTGAGACCCTGTCTCAAAAAAACAAAAACAAACAAACACCAAAAAACAAAATAAACAAAAAAAAACCCACAAAAAACAAAAAGAGCCAATAAAAAGAAAGGAAGAAGAAACAAAAAAGGAGACAGAGCACCATTTGAACCCAGGCCTCGTTAGTGATACTATGGGAATTTAATCACACAACATTTTAAATCTCTTAAACTCTTCTCACTTCCTTGGACAAGCAGAACAGGGGTAAGCAGAAGACGGCCCCTCCAGTGGTGAAGCCTTAGGCAAAGTGCTGCTTTTAGTGCTGCCCAGTTAGATGATTTTTTGTTGTTATTTTTTGAGACAGAGTCTCACTGTGTAGTTGAGACTGACCTGGAACTCACTTTGTAGCCCAGGCTGGTCTCGAACTCACAGCGATCCTCCTGCCTCCCTCAGCCTCCCAAGTGCTGGGATTACAGGCCTGTACCACCACCATGCCCGGCTTCAAGGCGCATTTTAATATGTGATTCATAACAATCTCCAGGCTTCTGTTGCCTGTCCTAACTTCTCTCTTTTTTTATACCGGGGATTGAACTTGGGTCCTTGCACTTTTGAGGCAGGTGGCAGAACCTGCCTAAAATCCTGCTAAATCCTTGGCCCTATACAGTCTTTGTGTACAGTGTCTTCGATAAATATTGTTTTTATTGAAATTGTTAGTACTAATGTGTAAATTCCGGAAAATAAATCAGGGTTTATTTATTTGGTCTTTTGAGATAGTTTCTCACTATGTAGCCCAGGCTAGGCTCAAACTCATGGAATCCTCCTGCCTCAGCTTCCTGAGTGCTGGAATTACAGGTGTGCGCCACCATACCCGGCCACAGGAACATTATTTCTGTGCGTTTTCTTTTTCTGTGTGATTAATAAGAAATTTATTCAGAAAATACAGTGCTAGTCAGTGCACTGACTGGAGTCAGAAGGACTTTGAAAAAGAGTCCCTTTCAAACTTGCTGAAGTTCTGTGGTTATAAAGGCACTGACGTCACCGCTTTAACAGTGACTGGGTTAAATCCATACCAAGTAGCACACGGAAACCACCTAAGAATTCCATGGATGTGGTTCAACTTCAGTTGTTAGCAAATCCTCATCTTTCCAGACAAATGTTAATATCCACAGGCACTTGTCATTTAATTACTTTTCTGATTGAGATAGCACAAGTAGCATTTTTTTTTTTGAGACAAGGTCTTGCTGTGTAACCCAGATTGGCCTTGCATGCACAGTAATCCTGCCTCAGCCTCCCCAAGTGCTAGGATTACAGGCCTGTGCCATTGTGCCTGGTTTGCTTTACTTTTATTATCACTACATTTTAAATTTTTTAAAACCTTATTTATTTTTAATTTTGAGACAAGTTCTCACTAAATCACTAAATTGCCAGGCTGGGCTTGAACTTGAAATCCTCCTGCCTCAGCCTCCCAGAATGCTGGGATCCCTTGCATCCAGCTCTTAGCCACAGCGTTTTTTTTTTTTTTTTTTTTTTTTTTTTTTTTTTTGAGGCAGGGTCTCACTATGTAGTTGAGACTGACCTGGAACTCACTATGTAGCCCAGGCTGGTCTCAAACTCACAGCGATCTTCCTGCCTCAGCCTCCCGAGTGCTGGGATTACAGGTGTGCACCACCACGCCCTGATTGCCCCACCAATTTTTTTTTTTTTTTGGTACAGGGATTGAACTCGGTCCTTGCTCTTGCAAGGCAGGCAGCAGAATCGCTGAGCTAAATCCCCAGCCCTTGCCCCAGCTTTTGATGAATCAAAATACCAAATTCCCTACCTTTCAAGAGTAACTTTTAAGGTAAAATACCTATGAATGCTTAATAACTTTCTTTGAAAGCAGTTTGATTTAAGTAAAAGGTATTTGCCAAGCAAAGTTCATGATTTGTAACTCCTAGCTCTGGTGCCCAATGTATATAAAGCAGGTATATTAAATGTTAATCACTTAGGACCCAATTAATTAAATATTTAACACTGCTGATCGAGAGAAAATAAAGAGCAAGGGAACTTGATTTATTAGTAGTAGTACTGTATTTTGTTTTGTTTTGGTTTTTGAGACAGGGTCTCACTATGCAGTTGAGACTGGCCTGGAACTGTGTAGCCCAGGCTGGTCTCGAACTCACAGAGATCCTCCTGCCTCAGCCTTCCGAGTGCTGGGATTATAGGTGTGCACCACCACGCCCAGCTTCCAGCCCTTTTTATTACTGTCAGTGTTGAGACAGGGTCTCGGTAAATTGCTAGGCTGGATTAGAACTTGCAATCCTCCTGCTTCAGCCTCCCAGAGAGCTGGGACTACAGGTATGCATCCCTGGCCCAGTGTAATGCTAGAAGTACATACAAGGTCTCCTGAAGGGTAGAAATGATTTGAACAGAAAGGTAGGGACCCAGGCCTGGTGGTACATACCTGTAATCCCAGCTACTCTGGAATTTGAGGCAGGATTGCAAATTGAAGGCCAGCCTGGGCAGTTTAGCCAGACTGTCTTTGTTTTGTCCTGTCTTGCTGTTTTGAGACAGTTTCACTATGTAGCCCAGGCCGGCTCTGAACTCACAATGTGGCCCTGGCTAGCTCGAACTTTCTGAAATTCTCCTGCCTCAGCCTCCCTGGTGTTAGGTTTACAGGTATGAGCCACCACACCGACTTTAGACCCTATTCTGTTTGATTTTTAGCCAGGGATGTAGTTCAGAGCTCACTGGTAATGGAGTGAAAAAAGCAGAGGGACTGGGGGTGTCCCTCACTGGCAGAGTGGGGGCATCCTGGACAGCAAGGCCCAGTTCCGCCTAACTGCCAGCGAGGCGCCAGGTGCGCGGACACCAGGGTCTGAGGCTGCACAGAGGGAGGGATCGCCCAGGCCGCTCAGTCCCCAGGACTTTGGGGTGTGATAAGCGGGAAGCCTGGAAAGCCAGGGCCTGGAATCTGGGTCGCGTCACCTCCTGGCTGGCTATCGTGTGCCCCTGCCATGCCACGGAAGTTTCTTTTTCCTCTGCAGAAAGAGACTGGTTCCTGCCTCGCCGGGGCGTCTCCCAGAGCGAACGCGGGGGGCCGCTTCCCAGATAAAGTCCTCCCGGCTGGGGTCCGGGCCCCGTGCTGCAGCCGCACCCGTCCAAACTTGGGGCGCAGTCGCTGAACTGCATCTCCGGCGACGGCTGCGACAGCCGCCCCTTTCCCGCGTG